CATGCTTTTCGACAGCGAGTGAGTGTGTGAATAAGTGTGAATACTGGCTGAATATTGGTGAATATTCGTACATGTTCAAGTCTGCGGCTGTGAGTGTTACATCGGCAGCTGCAGGCAAAGATTATGAATAACCGGAGCATTATCTGTGGAATTTTTTTTGGGGCCAATGATTGATGGCCAGCAGAGCCACAGTTCACTCAAATATTCACACACAAGACTGAGCAAAAAATACAGAGTTTTACCATCGAAAGAGTCTGACTTTTCTTGGCAAACATAAAATAAGCATTTTTATGCAGTTTATTTCTTTTTTTTATGCCAAAAACTCACACAAAATCCAATTAAACATCAGGCCAAACACGAGGTAAATCCATAAATGCCCATGTTCAACTTAAAAACTATAAAAATCACACCATATTTATATAAATTTATGAAGTGTTTAAAGTTAATGAGGTGTTTTTATTTTAATGGCATTAGCTTTAATTTTCCTAAAATGAAACTAACATATTGGCGGCGATTTTCGCTAATACCAATAATAATAATAAGTTAAGAGCCATTTAATAATAACACTAATGATTAAACTCAATTGCATAAATCGCTGAGCAGTTAAAGTCTTTTTTATTTATAATTTAAAAATATTTTAGTTAGCTGAAATGAGCTTGTTTCAATTGTAAAGCTAATTTAATTACACACCCTATTTAGTTGGATATTTTGTAATAATTGTTTTGATTGGTAATCATTAAAAGAATAAAGCCAACTAATTAACTAAATCATTTTAATTAAAATGACTATTTAAACGAAAGAATCTAGAAGAAGAAAGAATGTATATAAGCTAAGAGTCTGAATGACTTTATTCAAAACCCATTAATCAGTAGAAAACGCATTCAATTAAAGTGACTCACTCTCTGAAATATTTAGCTTGTTCTAAACTTGATTTAACATACAAGAACACGCTTAATTTTTAAATATTTAAATTATTTAAGTGCCTTCAATCACTGGGAAATTAATGAACTGGCTTTTAGTATGTTAAACAATACAAATATTTAACTGATCCAAAGAAACCTTTCTAGAGCCACTTGATTCATGTCTGTCAGCCAGCGAGACAATCGATTTCTAATGGGCGAGACAGCTCAAGTATCGAGTATCGATTGCTTCTCATGATCTGGGTTCGATCTCGAGATCAAAAGGCGACGTACATACAACTGCTCTCGATTCGAATAATTCGAGAGCAACTCGACTTGTCGGCGGCTGCGATTTATGTGGCGGTTACGCTGACCGATTCAAGGTTAAATCCAGATTTTATGCAAAGCAACTGCAACTGCAACTGAGAAACTGCAAGTATCTACGCAATATTTTCTGCATTTTTTGTATCTTGCGCATATATGTATATATAGAGGGGGATTTTTTTTATGGTACCCCTTTTTTGTTTGTGCTTTTGCCGCGTAATGCGATGCCTTACGTAAGCAACGGGCTATCCAGCTGCAGTTGCAGCTAGCTCTCGCTCTCGCTCTGACTTAGGTGTTGCAACTTGTTGTCGCCGCACAGCAGCAGCAGCAACAGCAACAGCAGCAACTGCAACTGCAACTGCAGCAGCAACTTGTCCATAAATTGTGCCGCCGCTGGCTGTAAATCCGGCCAAAACGATTCTCAATTTTAGGCGCCCTGCAGCAGCAACAGAGGTAGCAGCAGCAGCAGCAACAGCAGCAGCAGCAACACATCAAGCTGGCAAGACAGCTTGCAACCTGCAACCTGTCCATCCAGGCCACATTTAGACTGATTTTAATTGCCAGCCGCTGGTTGCAATTAAGAGAAAAGTGAAACAGCGAATAAGGCTGGACTGGCTCAAGCAGAAACTAAACTGAAACAAATGTGGCATTTGCCTTTAAGTACATGTGTTGCAGGCGCGTGATGTTGCTGCTGCTGTTGCAGCTGTTTCTGCTGTTCACTTTGCGTAAAATCGACAAATTTGTCAAAAACAGAGACTGGCCAATCAATGCGAATCCGAATCCGAATCCGAATGCGAATGCACATGCGCATTGTACAATCGAAATTGTTGTCATTTCATTTTCATTTAAGTTGCTTAGCCGCTTAGTTGGTTGCTCTTTTCCCTGATTTTTTCCTTCATCATATATATGTATATACTTATTTTTTTTTTTTTTTGGCATGCAATTTTATGTAAGCAGCCGGTGCAGTCGCTGCCATAAAGCAATGTTAGGCAATGCGTAAGCGACCATGTAAATGATGGCTATATATAAATGTAAATTGCCACAGCGTTCCATAAACATTACTTGTTTACCTGTGCGCCGGTCCAATGACCCAATCAATGTCCACACATTTTTATACAGTCGTCGCCGGCTCTTGTCACTGGGTAAATATGCCATTACCCCGATACACCGATCCACCGATCCACCGATACAACCGACTTGCCACCAGAATGTCTTGAGTGGCTTTTGGCCAAATGGCACACCAGCTAACAGCAGCAGCAGCAACCACCAGCTATACCGGATATGGATACGGCTGCGATTTACGGCTAAGAGGGGAAAGCTTCAAATCGCTTAAGTGTCGTTATACTTGTATATATTGTTTGGCATAGTGCGTTTCTTATTTCCCAATGTTGCTGCAGGAATTTGGGTTAAGAACCTGAGAGCAGCAAAGTTATAGTATATCCCTACAGCAGCCAATGAACCCTTTTAAAAGGATTCTTTTTTTCTGTAAGAGAGCTGCCTTTTAGTTCTTTTAGCTATAAATATTGGCACATATAAGTGTCTACTGCAGAAATATATTAACTTTACACACTTAATGCTTTTTTTATAGTACAAAAATCATAGAAATCGGAGAGTTTTTGATACTTTTTAGTCTTGTAAAAATTCGTATTCCTCTTTCCACTACAAATCTGATTTTGTTGATTCTTCAGGATGCTTTTATAATTTTCTAGCAATTTTAAATAAAACAAGATTGATTGAAATTCGATCACTAGGAATTAAGAGAAAATAAATTATATATTTTTATGTTAAAAAACAATAAAGTAATCCCTGCTTTTGTTTAATTTACCTATACATTTAATATTTACAGTTTTACATTCACCGTTTTGAATTTCCCCCTATTTTTAATGACTACTTGTACGGCAGCTATATCATATAGTAGTCCGATTTTCAGAAAATTTTACTCAAAACTCTAGATTAATACATATACAAAAGCTATATATATCAAATTTGATGAAAATCTGTTGAAAACTGGAAAAGTTCTAAAGCTATATATATCTATATATGTATGTATGTATATAGTCCACCGATTCACCACGCTCCGTCTTATGTACTAGTAAAATTATATAGAGGAGTAATTCGATAGCTTCATTCAAATAGCTTGCTCTTAAGTTTGTTCCAAAACATATGATTCCCAACTGGTTCTAACACCCCCGGAACGAAGTGACTTCTGCCAGCCGAGTCCCAGATATGTGTTGTGTTACAAAAGTTGCAAGTCATTGTTTACAAGTGTTTAAAGTTAGTTACTGATCATACATACTCAGTGGTCATAGATACTTACTGTTTAGAGTTAATTACTGATCATAGTTACTTAAGGTTCATTGATACTTTCTGTTCATAGATCATTACTGATCATAGATACTTATTGTTCAGAGGTACTTACTGGTCATGGATAATTACTGTTGAGAGTTACTTAATGATTATAGTTACTAAAAGTAGTACCAAAACTTAAAGTCTTTAATAATAAATGATATATTTGAATTAGATAGATATATAGATAAATATATATGTATTATTAAAAAACTATACTTATCAGACAATATATCTTGTGGCTCTTGCACTTTAGATTGCTTTAAATAATCTCTCAAAATTGAAATACAAATCCATTTAATTTGCCCTTCGATTTCACAAACTTCCCTATATGATGTTTCCCTTTGCTTATATATAATTGATTTTAGCGAAAAGAAAGTTCCCCTTGGGGGCAGTCAGACGCAATTAGCTAAATTCACTTTTTACGATGACTCTAACCATCCCGATGCCATATACCATATAATACATAATATATATTGTATATGAAGCTTGCTAATTAGTTATGATCCAACCTGTTCCTACTATGTATCTTTTAAGCCGGCAGATGTTTTATTCGATGATGGCTTTTTGGATGATGGTGATGCTGATGGGATGAGATATCTTACACAGCGATTTGATCAATTTTGTTTGCTGCGTGTAAAATTCACTTCGATGAATGAAGCCCAGAAAAGTAAAGAAATAAATATAACCAAACCGGCATAGCTCTCACACACACGCACACGCAATCGAAGTCAAGTTTTTTTTTATTTTTTTCGTTCGGTTCGAATTGCTTATGTAATCTCGTGTTGTTTCTCTTTCGGTTTTGCTGACCAAAATCCGTAAAAAGATTTGGGCCCATTGTGGCTGCGGCCAGCCAGCGAACGCTGTTGTAACACTTTGGCATTTTAATATGAAAATCCGTTTGGGATATTTATGAGTGTGACTCACAGTGTTCCCAGTTTCCCCCCGCTCACTCCAATTGTTTTGGCCAACACCATAGCCTTCGTAATACCAGCTTCCTTGTTGCGCCCCCTCTTATGACACATATTGCAGCAAGGGGCGTGGCATGTGGCATCTGCATCTGATTAGGCGCCGATTTGCATATAAAATTCATCTAGTTTTGTCTCGTCACATCACCTCATCTCACACACATTGCATGGCATCGCTTATGTAAGCCGTGATGATTTGATGGGCGACCTTCATGGGAACCACTGTTTGAGTTTGAGTTCGAGTTCGTGTCTTGAATCTTTTGTTTCGCCCAGATTAATGCGGACCACCCCGTCTCCAAGACCTGTCCATCGATGTCACTGTGTCAATGCTGTCTTAATACCGCCCTAGGCGGTCTCTGATTTTTTTATTTGCTAAACGAGCTTGGCTTCCTTCCGCTTCTCATCTCGAATTGATATAATTGCCCAACACTTATTGTTCTCCTTCCTTTTCCTTTTTTTGCAGTTCCGGCGTGGAGCGGCCTGGCAAACGCTCTTCCTGCTCTGCGCTCTCGCCTATTGCATAAATGGTAAGTTTTGGTTAATTTAGTTATAGTTAAATTATATGTAAGAATTTGGGGGATTTTTGAAGGGTATTAAATATGTTTAGAAACAGGAAAAGTGTAAAGAAATCCAGAATTTCCTAATAGATCAAAGAAAGTAAGCACATCTTTATGTTTCCAATATCATAGATTCTAAATTATTTTATCAATCTCTAAGAAATCCTTAGCATTTCCTATTAGATCAAAGAAAGTAAGCATCACTCCTTTCCTTTTCAATTTCATAGATGAAAATGTTAGCCAAATGTATCTTGTTCCTTAAAATATATAAAATAACAATGCCTGAGCATTAAATAATACCTTTTCAAGCTCTCCAAACACTTTTAAAAGATTTCACATGTCTTATTGAGTTCTTACATATTTCTATTGCTAATCATTTATTTACGCTATTCAAACGCTTTAGGAATAGTTCCTTTTTAAGCAATTCAAATTCTCAAACTCTAAGCAACTACTTGATAAAATATTTTTGCAATCCATTAACCATTAATTAATTGAAATTTAATGCCATACAGAGGCCAGCAGCGAGGGACGCGTGGTCTGCTATTACACAAACTGGAGCGTCTATCGCCCGGGCACGGCAAAATTCAATCCGCAGAATATCAATCCCTATCTGTGTACACATTTGGTGTACGCTTTCGGTGGATTCACCAAGGACAACCAGATGAAGCCCTTTGACAAGTACCAGGACATTGAGCAGGGTGAGTAGCCCAGACACGCCCCGTCCTTCCGGCGAGTTAATTTCACTCGGTTGCAATTTCCGGTCCTCTTCCTGTTGCTGCTCCTGTCTGATGCATCCCCTGTTTCCCTGTTTCTTTCATCCAGGTGGCTATGCCAAGTTCACCGGACTCAAAACGTACAACAAGCAGCTAAAGACCATGATTGCCATTGGCGGCTGGAACGAGGCCAGCTCTAGGTTCTCCCCACTGGTGGCCAGTGGTGACCGTCGACAGCAGTTCATCAAGAATATTCTAAAGTTTCTGCGACAGAATCACTTTGATGGCATCGACCTCGACTGGGAGTATCCGGCGCACAGGGAGGGCGGTAAGTCCCGGGATCGGGACAACTACGCCCAGTTTGTGCAGGAACTGAGGGCCGAATTCGAGAGAGAGGCGGAGAAAACGGGACGAACGCGCCTGCTCCTGACCATGGCCGTGCCAGCGGGCATCGAGTACATTGACAAGGGCTACGATGTGCCCAAGCTGAACAAGTACCTGGATTGGTTCAATGTGCTCACCTACGATTTCCACTCCTCCCACGAGCCCTCGGTCAATCACCATGCTCCCTTGTACTCCCTGGAGGAGGACTCTGAATACAACTATGACGCCGAGTTGAATATTGTGAGTTTTTTCTAGAGTTTCATTACTATTCCTGGTACTCAGTATCCTTTTCTTTTAGGATTATTCCATTAAATACTACCTGAAGGCTGGCGCTGATCGTGACAAGCTTGTCTTGGGCATCCCCACATACGGACGATCCTACACTCTGATCAACGAGGAGAGCACAGAGCTGGGAGCACCATCGGAGGGTCCTGGAGAGCAGGGCGATGCCACACGCGAAAAGGGTTACCTGGCCTACTATGAGGTTGGTTTTCCGTATTCCTCGTGATATATTTGAGTGCCCCTAACCCTCTGACTTTTTTATTAGATCTGTCAGACCCTCAAGGACGACCCCGAGTGGACCGTGGTCCAGCCGAACGCCAATGTGATGGGACCCTATGCCTACAGACGCAACCAGTGGGTGGGCTACGATGATGAGGCCATTGTGCGCAAGAAGGCAGAGTACGTGGTGGCCCAGGGACTGGGAGGCATCATGTTCTGGGCCATTGACAATGATGACTTCCGCGGCACCTGCAATGGAAAACCGTATCCTCTGATTGAAGCCGCCAAGGAGGCCATGGTGGAGGCATTGGGGTAAGAAATACCAACTCTTTTCGGAAGGATAAACTTTATACTTATTTATTTTTCTATTCCCCTTCAGACTGGGCATTAATGAGGTCGCCAAGTCAAGTGGCCCGCAGAAACCTTCAAGATCTCGCAGTCGCGACAATGCCAGCACCCGGAATCGTCTTAATGGCAAGACCGAAGCACCAGCCAACTCGAGAAGACCTAGTGCACCCCGACGACCAGCCATAAGCTCCACCACAAGCACGCAGGCACCACCGCCAAGTACCACCTTCAAGCTGACCGAGGCCGAGGGATCTTCCCTTTACATTGGAGGCAGAGGATCCACCACGCCGCCGCCGCCAACCACTCCCGATCCGGGTTCAGACTTCAAGTGCGAGGAGGAGGGCTTCTTCCAGCATCCGAGAGACTGCAAGAAGTACTATTGGTGTTTGGATAGCGGACCGTCGGGTCTGGGAATTGTGGCCCACATGTTCACCTGTCCATCGGGTCTGTACTTTAATCCTGCCGCCGATTCCTGTGATTTTGCCCGAAATGTGCCCTGCAAGACCAAAAAGTAAGTGAATGCCACTTTAAGATGCTTGTGGAGATTAAATACTAATCTTTTCCTGCTTATTAGATCAACCACTGCGGCTCCAGTGACCACTAGTACCTCAACCACCACAACAGCGCGACCGAATCGTGTGACAGCGGCGCCCACGGCCCGTCCAGTCTATCCGCGACCCACCACTAGCACCAGCACAACGACAACCACAACCACGACAACGCCAGCGGCAATTGAGGAGGATCTTGAATACGAAGAAGATACCGATGAGCTGTCGCCGAGCAAGTCAACCGATGCCGAGGAGGATCCACAGGTTATCAAGGAGCTGATCGATTTGATTCGTAAAGTGGGCGGTGTGGAGCAGCTGGAGAAGCATCTGCTGCGCAACAAGGATGGTTCCATCACTTTGAAGGAGAACTCAGCCAGCGGAGCCGCCACCACACCCTCTACCATTAGTAAATCACTGTATGATCGTGTGCTGAGTCGTCCTGGAACCTTGAGTTCCTTCACCCGCAACCGATTCAAGATCAGCGAGGCCACCGAAACCAGCACAGAGGCCAGTTCATCGAGCAGCACCTCCAGCGGCACAGGCAACAACTACTCCAAGTACTCCTCTGTTCTCAGGGGAAACAGTCGCCAGGGGCCGCAGAACGAGGGCATTGAAAAGCTTGCCGAGTTCGATGGCTTCCTGAAGGAGCGCAAGCAATATGTGACTATCAATCGACATCGATCTGCCGGTCAGGGCGAAGAGGAGGAGACCCAGGAACAGCAGGAGGAGGAGCAGCAACTGGCCGATGTGGCGACCACAACGCGTCGCCCCTTGAGCTCAGTCACGCCCTCCTATACGAGTCTCAGGCGCACTCGCCCAACAACAGTAGCTCCAGCTGCCGATCATTCGCAGGAGGAGGTGGAGGAGCAAACCCAGACGCCGGTGAAGTCCTATGCCACCTTGAGCCGTACCCGAGGACGTACCACCGCGGCACCATCAGAGGTCACAGAAGCGTCGCCCAGTTCAACAACTAATCGGTGAGTGGGAAACTAAGGCAACTTTTGAGGTGACAAACTCTAATATTTCCACCAACAGGTACAAGTACTTTGAGCGCACGCGACCCACAAAGAGTGCCACCGCCGAGGATGTCGAGGATCCTCTCGAAGAGGAGGAGGAGGAATACGAGGATGAGGCGCTCAAGGAGCATGTTACGGTACAGAGCAAACAAACAACAAATACACGTAAATATGCGAGCATTGGTCGCAGAACCACAACCACAACAGCAACACCAGAAACAACAACAACAACAACCGCCGGCACTGAGACTGCCAAGGCCAGCACCACCAACTCAACCACCACCAACAACAACAACAAGAACCACTACAACAGCAGCAATAACTACAACAATGTGAAACTGAATAACCAAATACCAACAGAAGAGAGCACCACAACCACTGCAACACCCAGCACCATCCAACCCGAAACCACATCCACTACAACCACCACAACTAACGAACCCACTGAACCAAATGAAAGCACCACCTCAACCACCACCTCAGCCATTAACAACCTGCATACCACCACACCCACCACACCACTTGTAGGCTCCACTATCCCACCAACCTCTGGCCTCGACTCAGACTCCCTGCTAGCCAGCGAGCCGAGCGAGCCTGCCAATCCCACCCAGCCTCCCCTCAATCCCGACTCAGCCACAACGACCACCTCAACGGAACCCGAACTGGTCAGCACAACAACCACAACGACGACGACTCCAAAGACCACAACCACAACGACAACAAGCACGGGCAACAGCGAACTGAATGACGTAGACAACGTGGACAGCGAGAACAGTGAGGTAACAAAAACCAAGACACAGTATGGCAACAAGTATGCTACCACCAACCGTCGACGTATTACCACAACAACAACGAATAGCAACAGCAACAACAATGCAGAAGCTGCGAACGATGCTAGTCCAACAAGAAACGGTTTGAGTAGTTTAAATAGCTTTAGAACAAACCCGGGCAGAAGGCAACCCACCCAAGAACCCAACCACGAACAGACCACCGTCGAACCGAGTCCCAGTGTCTCTAGTCCCAGACCCTTTGGTTATCCCCGACGTCGTACACGACCCACAGCCAGCACCAGCACCAGTAGCACAGCACCCCAAACCGACAATGATAACAATACCGATAACGATAACTTAAACGTAAACGATAACATAAACGAAACCGATGCCGTTGCGAAGGTAGTGAAGAAGACACGACTATCCCCAGGGGATAGGCCCAAGGTGAGTGCCAGTCTTCCAACAGCAACAACCACAGCTAGCAACACCAGAACAACAACCTCACTGCACCACCAAGAACCCCAAGTAGAAGTAGCTGGTAATGGTGGCAATAGCTTAAGGCATGAAGTAGTTAGCTCTAGTTTAAGTCAATCCCAAGCCCAGAACCCGAACCCCAACCCAGACCACAATGATATCGATGACACCCTCAACCAGACAAAGACCAAATACACTTGGCGCGGTGTGCGACGACCCACCCGCGCACCAGTGGCTCCCAATTCTTTAGCAGGCGACGACAAGGACTCTCGGCGCTTCGCCGGCAAGCAGCTAAGCTCTGACCTCGAGGAGGATTCGCAGACCACCACCAAGTTCCGCAGTCGTCGTTTGAATTCGGCCGAAGAAGAGTCCGAGGTGGCTCTTGAGAGAGCAACAGCCACATCAACGCAGTCCCAGGGCTCCCGCAGCTACCAGAGTATTCAGCGCACCGCTAGCAGGACCTCCGAAGATGACTCTCAGATCCGCTACAAGGCCATTACCCGTGACTCTGAAGGCGGTGCTCATCTCAGCACAGGCCGTAGCTCCAGTTTTGTAAGAAACCTCGGTGAAGCACCCAAGCTGCGTACCCATCAGCCCGTGGGCAGAGGTGGTCAGATTTTGGAGACAACTACCGAAGACGAGAATGTGGCCGCTGAGATAATAGATGATGAGAAAAGAGGAGAAACCAAAGCGCCCGCCGGAAGTGAAAATACGGATGACAGCAACACGGCCACAGAGCAAGAGTCCCCAGAAATTGTGACAGAAGCAGTACCACAATTGCCAGAGGCCCTGGAAATTAATGAGGTCACCACATTGCCCTCAGTAGAGGAGGCTTCACCCAAAAATGAGGAGGATTCCAGCAGCCCGACTGAAACACCTTTCAGCAGCAGCACTGAAGATCCTGTGAGCAGCACTGAATCACCTGTTAGCAGTACTGAAGATCCTGTGAGCAGCACTGTTAGCAGCACCACTGAAGAACCCATAGAATCCAGCAGCAGCTCTGCTGCCCTAAATGTTGAAGCTTTGGTAGAAGAAACTACACTGCCAGCAGCAGAGGAAGTAGAATCCGCTACCGATATCAATAGCAGCAGTTCTACTGAACCCCCAGCAAGCAGCACCGAATTGCCAGACGTTAGTAGCAGTACGGAAAATATCCTAGAAGAAACCACGACAAGTACAGTGAAGCCAACTCGCCGTTCCCGCTTCGGCTCAACGACAACAGTCGCTACATCGGAAGCTGTGGCCGAAGAAGAATCAACAACTTTGTCCCCAAGGCGTCGTGTTATTGTGCGTACAAGAACAAGTACAGTTGAACCAGAAAGTGAAGTGGAGTCAACGAGCACCGAAGCAACAAAACGTCGTTCTTTCTTTAGAACTAGCTCCACTGAGGCGCCCAGCAGCAGCACTGAAGAAACTGAAAATAAGGCTCAGGAATCGACCCCCGAAGGCACAACCCGAAGATCTTTCTTTAGAACAAGGTCCACAGAGGCACCCAGCAGCAGCACTGAAGAACCTGAAAGTGAGGCTCAGGAATCGACACCCGAAGCCACAACCAGAAGATCTTTCTTTAGAATTAGCTCCACAGAGGCTTCAAGCACGACTCTAAGTGAAGAGAGCAGTAGCAGCAGCTCGGCCAGCGAGGAGATCGAAGCGGAGACGACTGAAGCCACTACCACTCGTCGTTCCCTATTCCGTAACAAGACTCCAAGCACCACTGAGGCCACTACTACAAGCACGACCACAGAAGAGCCCCAAGAGAGTAGCACAACTAGGCGCTCCTTTTTCCGAACCAGCAGCACCACAGAGGCCTCAACATCGTCCACCGCTGACACTGACAAAGAAATTAACAGTGATACGGAGGCCACCACTGCTCTTCCCAGACGTCGAGTCATAGTTAGAGGTAGCTTCAGGCCCCGGAAAGAGGGAGATCTCTCCTCTCTCCTGGCAGCAGATGCCAATAAAAGAGCCAGGAACAATCAGAGCACGACGACCACAGAAACTTCTGCAGATAATTCCGATTCATCCAAGGAGGAGGAACTGTCGCAAGAGGAGCCACAAACGGCAGAGAAAGTAAACGCTGGTCGCATTTCGCTGAATGCTGTTCGCAACCGAACGACCACCAAAACCGAGAGCCTGGGCAACGGAGTCACCCGCACACGCACCACCTATGTGCGCACCCTTGATGCTGGCCAAAAGGTGGTGAAACGCATTCACACCAAGACCATTGAGGAGAAGCCAGCCGAATATGAGTACATTGTTGATGAAGTGACCCACCAGCCACCGCCAAGCACTACACCACGCATGGTGACCCGTAATCGCGGCTCTGTGCGCTTCCAGGGCAACGATCTGTCTTCGCTGCTGGCCCAGGACTTCTCTGCACGCAGCCACCGCAAGAGGACACAGCAATCAGAGCCAACGGTGACCAAGACTCGCAGGCGTCTGCTGAAAAAGCCCAAAGAAACCATTGAGCACGAAGAGGTTGAAGAATTTGAGTATGAGGCTGGCAACGAGGTGGAAGCAGAACCTCAAGTAAGCTCCACAGCCCGGCCCATAATCCGGAGAACCAGACCCACAATTGCACGCACAACAACTACCACAACAGAGGAACCAAACGACATCGAAGCCAGCACTCGCAGAGCCAGCTTTGCCTTCAAGAGACCAACAAAGGCAACGACAACTACCGAAGAACCTACAACTACCTCAACTGAAGCCACCATTCCCACACGGAGAGTGCTCGCCCACAGGAGACCACTGAGCACAACGACGACAACGACGACAACTACTACTGAAGCTCCAATTGAAGAGGAATCTACCGAAGATCAGTTGGCGGCGGCAAAGCAAAGGTTTGTAAATCGCTTGAAGACCAGCACCACAAAGGCCACAACCACAACTACAACCACAGAGGCAACCACAACTGCTGCCAGCACCACCGAAGAAGATTTAAGTGACCTCAAGCAGCAGCTGAGCAGTGCCATAAATCGTTTGCAGTCAGAGAACAAACTGGAAAGCCAGGCACTATCCAAGGATGGTCAGACTCCAGAAGATACCAGCGATGACAAACTTTCCTTGCCAATTTACCACCGAAGAAAGTACTATCAATATGTAAAGGATTCTCCGATTACATATATAGACAAGTCACCAGCGCCACCGGATATCGAAACTGTAACCGTCAATATAAAACAACAAATCCATGATGTTTTCAATGTGAGTGAGAATGAGACACCGATTAACTCTGTGGAGGATGAAGGAGAGAGCGCTGGCCATCGCCTTGCGATGGAGCAAGCCAAGGAAATCAACGCCGAACTCGGTCATTTTTTATTGAAAACCCCCGGGTCAAAATAGGTCACCTGGGGGCAAAATTAGTCGGATCAGGAGAGGAGACGCTCGAAGATGATGAGATAACAGCCGATATCGATGAAGACGAAGATGAAGAGGACCAAGAAGACAAAACAAAAACGCAGCGGCAGGGCAAAACGTTTAAAACAATTCCACTGACAGTAGATTCCAACAATGAAACTTCAAAGATTGTAGATATTTCCGTTTTAGAAGAAAAGGAACGAAGCGAGGATGATGGCAGAGCCTTGCGTCTTTATACGAGACTAAATCGTACTCGTTTGACGCTCTCAACCAGGCTGCAGGACAAAACAGCAGAGGAATCACAGGATACGACCACCAGGAGAAGCTACAGCATACCACAGCGCTTCCGCACTCGCTCTACAACGCCCTCAACTCCCTCAAGCACAGAAGAAGCTGAGCAATCAGAGGAAGAGATCAAGGTTGAATCCACAACAAGGCGGTTTTACGCAGGTCTAAATAGACTGAGAGGCAGAGGAAGCACTACCACCAGCACCACTACCGAAATTGCAGATGAATCAACAACTGAAGCCACAAAAACCACATCCAGAGGCACTAGGCAGCCTTATGTGGGCATTAGTCGCAGAGTTACAACTACGACAACAACCACCGAGAAACCAAATGAGATCGAAACTGAAGACATCGAAAATGAAGAGGAATCAACCACTCTAATCTCGGAAATCAAGGTTGACGAAAATCAGACCGAAAAGAATGAGTCAACCGATAAAACTGAAAATAAGGAACCTAAAGAACCAGAAGAGCCGGAAGATATTACCGAAGAGCCCGAACTGGAGGCCCATATAGACGATGACAATGAAATTCCAGAAGAAGAAATTATACCCCTCATTGAAGCCTCGACCACAAGTGCGCCATCGAGCACCACAACCACAATTGCACCATCCAGCGCCACGCCAACACGTCGTCAACTGGTGATTCGTCGCCGTTTCAATGGAACAACCACTGCTGCTCCAGTGATGGATGGGAAACTGGAAGAGAATCTAGAAAATGAGATTATAGATCAAGTTGATACGGAAAGTTCGACCCAAAGATCAACAACATCAACAACCACTTCGAGGCGGCAGCTTTTGATACGCCGACGCTTCAATGCGACAACAACATCAACCACAACAACAACGACTGAGAATCCAAGTGCGGACAATGAAATAGATCAAGATGAGGCAACATCAAGCACCACCAGGCGCTCGCTTTTGTCACGTCGCCGCTTCACACCACCAACAACATCAACGACAACCGCTGCCACGAGGGGATCAACGAACCTGGATGAGGTTAGCACACGTCGTCCGTACGCGGCCTTGAACCGCTCACGTAATCGCTTCTCCACACCGCGAACCACAACCACCGAAGGCAATGGTGATGATGATGAAGAATCCGATGGGGAGGAGGCTGAAGAGCAGGTAGCACCACCACGTCCCGGCTTCCTTCAAACGAACCGCCATCGAGCCCTGCAACGCACTCCCGAGGAGGAGGAGGAGCACACAGGTGGAGCACTGCTGGCCCGCAAACCACCCAACTTTGCTGCTCGGCGCACCACCGCAGCACCGGCTAGAGTCAGCTCCAGCACACGACGCAATCTGGTAGCCATCAATAGGAATCTATATCACCGAGCGGAGGAGGATCCGGAAGAAGAGGAGGAGGAAGAGCCCGAGGAGGAGTACGATGAAAATGAGGAAGCTGAGGACGAGCCTGAAGACGGTTCTGCGGGTCCACCCATCAGAGGCACCACTGCAAGGTCACGACTTAGCCAACTGCTTGTCAGCAGGCAAAGACAGCCCCTGAGGACAGTGATTAGCAGCACCACCGAAAGACAGACCGACTCGAACAGTGACAACGATGACGATAACGATAATGAGACCGTGAACGAAGAAGACTCGGAGGAGGATGAAGGCTCTGCCGAGGTATCGAACAGTACACAAACCATTAACCACAGTAACTTTCAGGGGATTGGCACCACTATCACTAACAGTAACAGTAACATTAATGGCACTACTAACCGAAGCACTGCACTGAATGTAGCTAGTCAACGTAGTAACAGCACCGTAGCCAATTATTTGATTAATCGTTTCAAGTCAAACAGTTACACAAACAACAACAAAACCAATTACAAACCAGTCACAGTTAAAGCTAATCTTAAGGCAGATAGTCACAGTAATGATAACGATGATCGAGACGAAAATGATAATGATAGTGATAATGATACCGATGATGATAACGATGCTAGTCTAGAGAATGAGGGGGAGAATGTGGCGGAAGAGAAAGCAAGTGGGGCTGGTTTGAATGCCTTAGGTAATGACGTTAATTCTAAACGACGCTTTCAGAATCGTTATCAATTGAGCCGCACCAGAGGCACCACCACAACCACACCACCACCATCGACGTCAACACAATCCCCGACAGCAGCCAACGCCAGACGATTGGCCTTTGGGGCCCGTCAGCGCGCCCAGGTAACTAAACTAACCCTAGTCGAGGAGCAGACTGCCGAGGAGACCGAGGCCAAGGCACAGCCCCACGAACCGGTGGAGGATGATGCCGCATCCGTAGCCGAAACAGAGTCCAATGAAGACAGCACTGAAACTGGAACAACAACGACCACCCGGCCCACACCCAAGCGCATCCGTGTCCTTAAATTCCGCAGACCCCTGAATAGCAATAGCAATAGTTCCACCGTAGATAGCACCACTAATAGCGCCACTGACACTAACCCAGACACCCAGACCACTGCCACTGCCACACCACCAACCACCACAAGCAACACCAACACCACCGTAGGCACCAACGGCAAGCGTTTCCGCAAGATTGTGCGAAAGCTGCGACCGGTGGACTCGAGCACCGCCGCCAGTGTGGACAACTCCGAGGAGACCACCCGCAAGCCCTTCGTTCCCAGCCACAGCAGATTCGTGGACCAAGAGCAGAACCAGACTGACCTATTGAGTCTCCGGCAACGGCTCAAGGAACAGCAGGCCAAGGGTGAGCCCCAAGATGGTGTCATCAGTAGTCGATTTAAGGCATCGGGCCAAAAGGATGACCAGGAGAACGTGTCCGATCTGCAAAAGTTGAGGGACAAGGTAAAGGCCGAGCAGGCTCGGGGTGATGGTGACCAGGGCGTGATCAATGATCGCCTGAAAAAGCTGCTGGCGGAGAAATCCACCGGCACTTCACGACAAGGACAAGATTCCGCTTCGCCGGCCAGAGACGATGAGCAGTCCTCGTCCGTGTCCTCACCACGGCCCTTCTTCAAGCGTAAGTTGGTGGCCCGCAGACCCTACACACCGTCCTCGGCGAGTGGCGGATCACCGGGTACCACAAAGGCACCGCTTGCTTTTAGCACCTCTCGGCCAACGGCAAAGTTTGTGCGCCGCAAGAATGGCAGATTCGATCCATTCAACTCGAGTGTCCGTAACCGGGGAGAAGGTTTTGTGAGGAGCGACCCACGAGGTGCCAGATTACCGGGAACCGATCGCTTCAAGACCCAAGGAAACGAGGATGACGAAGAGGAGTTGGAGGCACAGCAGGAGCACCCTCTGCAGAATCAATTCGGAACCAATTTGCGCAGACCATTTGTCCCGAAAACGCGTCCAGTTCTTGATAAATCCAAGACTCAGCAGGAAGATGGAGGCGAGGACAGCGAAGAGGATGATGAGGAGGAGGACGAGGATTCCGAAGAAGAAGGCGACGAGGAGGAGGATGAGGACGAGGAAACTGGGGAGAAGAAAACGACTGGCGGCGAGGAGAAGCCCTCTGAGGACACGAACACCAACAAACCCAAGTTCAATTCCCCTTACAGGCCCAAGGATAACCGCATGCCACCCGGCAGCCGTCCCAACTTTGGAACCACCGGCAGTGGGGCACCCACCGCACCCGGCAACGTGCCCTTCAATCCCCGCAACCGACCACCCACCGGACCTGGCAGCTCCAATACCAACAATCCACCCAATCGCTTTGGCAGCACCAAGAGACCACGAGTGGTCAACCGACCGCCAGGTGTGGCCTCACCCAACCTGACCCTGAAGCCGGTGGCCAGTGACTATGAGCGAACCACTCCACTGACGCCACTGAAACCGGCACCATTCATACCCAGCAATACCAGGAGCTACGAAAGGAAGTACTCGGGACCATCCACAGAGGCGGCGGAGACCGCCAGCGAGAATTCGCTGATCGAGGATCTAAATATCGATGCACTGAATGCGAGGAACAAGAAGATATTCGACAAGCACAGCAAGAAGCACACCACGCTGAAGCCCAAGGTGTCCAAGGTGGAAACGGAGGCGGGCGTGGGCCTGGGAGCGGAGGTGGAGACCGGAACCGAGGTGGCCACCGAGGAGGAGACCACCTTCAGCGCCGATCAGGGATATGTGACCACCACACCCAGTACACCAGCACCACCACCACCACCATCACCACCCAGCACACAGTTAGACACAGCCACAGCCACCAATACAGACACGCCACCAGAAACTGAAACCGAAACTGAACCCGTAACCGATACCGAGACAGCGACCAATGCTAATGAAGCCACTTCCTCCGTCAATTCACAGGATCAGCCTAACCACACCACCCAGTCGAGCACCACCCAGGCCCCGCCACCGGCCACCACACTGCTGCACGTGTTCACCCTGATCGAGGGCGAGGGCGAGGGCGAGGATGAGCATACCACCACGCGAAGGCCGGCGGTGAGGCTCCTGCCCACCATCCAGACGGAGGTGGTGCCCAAGCACAAGGTGGTCGAGATCAATCGCATCGTCGAGATCAATTCCAAGCAGGCCAAGGCCGCGCAGCGCAAATCCAAGGCCAACCAGGACTTTGGTACCCTGCGTGTGGAGTCGCTGCCCCATGTCGAGCAGCTGGGCGAGATCAGTGTGGTGAAGTACGTGCACCTGGTGGATGGCAGCGATATACAGATCAATGACGGTCACAGCACCGTCGCCGACTACACGCCCACGGAGCCCACGACCCGAGCCAGCGGGCAGAGCAACTCGCCGCCGGTAAGGAATTCCGTGCCGGAAACGGAAGGCAGCGATCGGGATGGCAAATCCCTGCTGCCCGAGGTCCTAAGCGGAGCTCTGGAAACCTCAACCATCTCGCTGGAGGGTCTCTTCGACTCGGCTCGAAAGGGCAAGCAGCTGAGCACCAATAGCATCTTCGCCGGAGGAGAACTGCCAACGGAGGAGGAGGAGAGCACCACCATCTTGAGCAGCAGTGCCAGTGCCACGGAGAACGGCGAGAGCACCACCCTGGCACCCACATACGTAAGACCCATAGTACCCCTCCTACGACCCGAGTCCAATGAATCCTCGCCGCTGGTCATCTCGATAGCCAATCTCGACCAGGTGATACTCAGCAAGGTGCAAAAGTCGCTGGCCGAGTCGAATGGCAGTAGCACAACCATGTCGCCCGCTGCCGCCGATTCCAATTCGGCCTTTTCGGTGCGTCAGGCTCAGGTGGTGCAGGCACCAGTGGTCCAGACCAGTGACAATTCCGACCAAAACAATCCCGACCAGACACAGACACAGATCACAACCACAGTCAGGACCACAGCGGATGAAGAGGAAACCACCATCTTTGTCCTTGACACCACCACCACAGCTAGCACAACCACAACTAGCACTCAGATACCAGTAACCACTGACTCTGGTGGAGCAGACAATGCAGACAATGGTCAGATCAAACAAGAAACACTAATTGCCATGCCAATTGGAGCGGCAATTATCAGCCAGCTTGGTCAAGGCACACAGACACTAACAACCGGTGGTAACCAAGAGATTGGTGGTAGTGGCGCTATTAGTTCCGAGGCTGTCAACCCGCAGACAACAGGCACTCTTGAGAGTGAACAACAGGTCTCTGATAGTGGTTCCACTAGTGGCAACAACCAACTGAATACACAAACCACAACCACAACCACAACCACATCAACCACACAGACAAGCTCAGTGGGCAGTGGAGCAGTTAGTGGAGGAGCTATCGGTGGCTCAGGCCAAGTCAGTGTGGGCAGCCGCGTCAGTGAGGCGGTGAGCTTTAGCTCCGAGACCCATGTGGTGCATCGCAAGAAGATGAGCCGCAAGGGGCGTGGTGGTCGTCGTCTCCGGAAGACGACAACAACAGCGACACCAGCAACCACAACGACCACTGAGACGGCCAGCACGGTGGAGACCGATGACATTGTTACCACTGTCATTCCAGTGCCGGAATAAGGTCCACACACAGCGTAGTTAGTTATTTCTAGTCTTAGCCCTTATCCAGTTTTGAGTTTTGAGTTTGGAAGTTTAGAAGACAGGCTTAACCCCTTGTTGCCGAACCGTAGATAATTGGCTGCGTTGCTTTGGCTTAACAACAACGAATGTTTAGAACGAAACCCTCTCGGCTTAATATATTAAATTCTTTCCAAAATTTTCCCCAGTGCTGCTGCTGCTTTTTTTTAGTAATTTGAAATATTCTATATATATATATTTTTTTTGTTTCCCATCTTGTGTAAATTATTTAAATTCGTATTCGTATTCTTCGAGCTGCCATACCTAAAAACAATGCCTACACACATCTCCCACTCACACACACATACATATACAATCACACACATGCCACACCACTCAGATGCGAAAAGTCTTTCCTTGGTTCAATCTAGGAAAATCTAGAGAAAAAACAACAACAACGACCCTCAGTGGATTTTTTAAAAGAAAAGAAAACTTGACAAGCTCTTAAAAACAAAGAAACTTTTAATTTTTGCTTTCTACCAGGCGCAGTTCTTAAGTAAATCTCTCACTCTCTCTTTGTTTCTATCCCTTTCTTTATATATTTTCTTAAATAATATATATTTTTTTATTTCACTCTTTCCCCCTAACTTTTCTATCCAAAATATTTTAAGTCTAGCTTTAGCTGTAAAATATTTATGCACAACAAATAAAATAATGAACAAAAAGAAACAACCTATACAAATTATTATTGCCACAACAGAACACGAACAATCAACCACTTTTCCAATACCATTTCCCTCTGGAAAAACCCTCCTTTTCCTGAAAAGAACAAATTGTATATAGGAAAACCCCAGATTGGGAAAATCTTGTATATATATAAATACTTTTATTAAGACAACTTATGTATTACCCTCTTTTTAAAGTAACTCTTTTTCCAGAATTTATTAATTTCTTTTTGATTGGATAGTGTTTATGTTATGTTAACTTATAAATAAGAATTTATATAGTATGAATAGGATATAGATGTGGGGAAATAATATTGCTTAATGAATAGTTATAGCTTAGGAACTTTGAAACTTCCGCTCTCTGTTAAAAACCATCTTGAATACTTCTTTTGATCTTACAAAATCTTATGCCCATAAATATCAAAGGTAATCATATGATTCTTTTGAAAGCAAATTGCAATTATTGTGGCTCCCCTTTTGCTCTTTCAAATGTCACTTGTAGAATTGCTTATTATTTGCCAAGTCATCGCCTCTGGCTTCTTTTTATTCTCTTAAATGTCAGATGCACCTTGGGCACATATTTCTTTTTTTCTTGGATGCAATTATTGCCACATATAGAGGAGAGCAAAGGCAGCAGCTGCTGTTTGTGCAAGCTTGTCTCTATAATCGGTTTCAACTTTCGATGAGTCGGCAAGATGTGCAGTGGAAAAAATAACTAAACAACTAAAAAACACATGAAATAAAAAAAGTAAAAAAACGAGTTCAGCCAAAACAATTTGCAAATTGCTGGCAAGAGGGTCTGCATACGAGACATGTTTCATAATCGCTATACAGCTATATAGCTCTATAGCTAGTCTCTCCTTGGAACGATAATTGCCAAAAGTCAAATCACGAGCGCCGCAAAAGAAAAATCACGAAAAAAGCTGACAGGCGACGGCAGGAAAAAATCCAGTCAAAAATCAGGTTGACAAAAAAGTCGTTAACGTTTTGTCGACATTTTTCCTATCCAAGTGCCCATGAAAAGTGAAGAAAAATGCTCAAAACAAAAGCAGACCGTAAAAGAAGCCATAAAAGAAGATCAAAGGTGTTGCACTTAGGGAAACGAGCTTTTGTTATTATTTTTTTTTGATGAAGATAAAGTGTAAACAAGAGTTCAGGTAATAGGGAGTGTTTACTCAGAAAATGAAATTACCAAGAAAAAAGGCATGAAATGATATGACACACTCCATGGCTTAAGGGGTTATAATATCACTTTGAAGTGGAGAAACCTTAAATATATACAAATATTTCAGGCAACTTGTTTCCTTGCCAATTATTTCCAAAGATCAGATTATCTGACCATTAATGTGGCTTCATGTGAAAATGAAATTGCCAAGAAAAAGGCATGAAATCATCACTTTGAAGTAGAGAAACCTCAGGCCAATATTTATTATTTTCCTTCAAGGCTAACCTTTTTTCTTGCCAATTATTGGCTAAGATCAGATTATCTTACCAATAAAGTGGCTTCATGTGGCTTTATCCCCTTCGCTTTCATTTGAATTGGCCTTGAAAGGGCTGCCTGCCTGCCTGCAGCTTTCTCTAGTTCGCACCTTAAGTCTTTTGTTTTGCAACTTTCACAATAAACCCACAAAGAAGCCAGAGAAGAAAAAGAAAAAACCAAACAAAACAGAAGACGACGCCCTGCACGCATCATCAGTCTTCTCCAGCTGATGACCACCGCAGCTTGCACAATATTTATATATTTTTTTTTTGTTTCTGATTAAAGCCAAAAGCTAACCAGTTTTAACTCGGCGCATCTGCCCAAGAGGAGGAAGCTTCAGAGTGGCAGAAGCGGACGGGGGAGGAAGCCAAGATTATGCAATCACATTGGCATGCAGTTAGTTGGCTTTTGCCAAATACCAAGCTGAAATACCCGGGTCCAATCCGATGCGATCCAATCCGCAGATCGAAGGAGCTCGTCCGCATTACGCAAGCTCTTCCATCTCAAGAGCTCATCCCAAAAAGACCGTTAAGACGATGCGTATTTTGGCCCAAACCTTGCTGGGTCGTTCCATTGTCTTCAATCGGTGTGATGTCTCTGACATTGACATCAAAAATCTGCCCAGCAGCAACTCTCTCCTTGGGTGGGTTTTGTGTTTTCTACAAACCAAGCTCTCTATAAAAATATGTGTGAAAAAATACCATATGATCTTGAGTCTAGGAAAAGAGTTATTATGGTTTTAACTATTAATAAATAGATATTTGAGTTACGAAAAATAGAATAAAATAGGTTTCAAGTTATTAAAAAAAAACCTATTTCAAATTAAATTACTCTTTAAAAGTAATAATTAAATACAGTCTTTTACAAATATTTCAAGATTAATGTATAAATAGAAATTGGTTTGAATATATTGTTAGAAAAATTATATCAAATTACTTTACTCTTAAAAAAAACTTATTCTAATTTAGTCTTTTACAAATATTTTTAGACAAGTTTATATATAAAGAAATTGGTTTAAAGATAAATACTTCAAGATTAGTTCATATCCTAACTTTAAAGGAATTTCAACTCAAGAAAGGTTAAAAATTATATTACGAAATCAAATAACTTGAAAACATCAAACTTTAAATATATTTATAAACTGTTTTTGACTTTAGTTTTCAACAGAAAATATTAAAAAAAATGTTGTTATTAGCTTTTGATCTATACTTGTTATTATATAGTGCCAAGTACATGTTTAGCTTTCAATGTCAACCACATTGCGTTGGACAAAGCGTTGGAAAACTAGCACAAAATAATGACCACAATTCATGCCAAATAACTCGTTCCCAGTCCGAGTGTCCGAGTGTTATTTATTTATTTATTTTGCACTCGGACGTCCTTCAATTAAATTTAAAAAAAATGCCAGACTGCATTTTTGCGGTTGCTTTTTGCTCCAGTTTGCGGTCAAGACTTTAATGGCAGAGAAAGGAAAGGGTTTTTTTTTAGACAAGGGAAAGTTTTCTTTCTTGAAAAGAGCACATTTTTTTGTAGGGTACTACTTTTTTTACTCATATTACTTAGCCTTTTTTCCCAATCCGAACCCCTTATCCCCTTTTCCAGAGAAAAACACACAACACAACAAAACAACTAACTAATTTATTTTGCTAATGTAGACTACTTATGTACGTATTTTGCAATATTTTTAGCTTTATTTTTGTATAAAACTATGTATTTTTTATTCTATTATTTATTTATTTGATTAATTTCCTTATTTTTTTTGCTGTATTTATTCAATATTAATATTTTTTGTTGTTCAGCATGAGGGGCGCGCTTTTGAATTGTTGTTGACTGCACCGCCAGGAAAACGCACCAAATAAACAACACACAAATCACAGAAACAACAGCCGGGCGATAAACAATAAACAAATACCGAAAATATTTGAAATATTTGACATTCCAAAGAGAGAAAAATAAATAAAACCTAAGAAATAAAAAATTTTAACCGCTTAATCCGCTTCTCTACTTCCATGTACCGTTAAGCAGCCGCGCCAGCCATCAACTGCCAGCGTCGCTGTCTCCCGTCGTCCAGTGCTCAGTGTGCGCCGGCGCATTATTAACTCACCAGCGTCGGCGTCGACGGAGGCCACCGCCACCACACAGAGCATAGAACCAGCCACAGCGACCTCCAAGTATGGACGACTGCGCAGTCGCCCCTCAGCAGCAGCAGCAGCAGCAGCGACGGCAGCAACAACTACAGGGGCAGCAGGAACCACAACTGTGCCGGCAGCAACATCTGCTGCTGCTAGCGGCAGAACCAACAACAGTTACCTGAACAAGCTTAAAGCCAAGAGCTCAGCAGCAGCAGCGGCAGGCGCAGGCGCAGGCGCAGCATCCGGTGAAGCAGCAACGCAAACGCCAACAACCAGCAGCAGCAGCAGCAGCAGCAATGACATCACACAAAAGCAGCACAAGTTTCAGCCAGCAAGCTTTGCGCTGCGACGCCAATTCCAAACGCGGCGGCTGACAACCTTCGCGCCGGCGACCAATGGCGATGAGAGCGGTGAGTGTGCACTGAGAAAAACAATAACTAAATAATTATAATTTGTTTTGAAATAAATAAATTTAAATAATTTAATTTAATCACTCTTGCCAACTAGAGCAAAAGATCTTATAGTAATAAAATGCATAACGCCCAAACAATTTTTTTGCAAGTTTGAAACTTGCACACATAGGATTTTAAATCACTTTCTCACTCTTTCTCTCGCTTTCACTTTAGTGCTTTTAAATTCTTAAATAATATTAAATAATATTCTAATATTAATATTCTAAGACTTCAAAAGTAAAGCAAAATATATATATATTACCTTTAGCAATAGTTACATTTTTGCCATCTTATATCACCAAAAAGTCCTAAAATATTTACATTCCTTAATTAAAAGTATCTAAATTTTAATAAGATCATTTTTTCTACAAATTGAAGTTTAAAAATTCCTTAACTTAATTTTAAAAAATCAATTTGTCAAAATCAAATCAATCAATCATTTATTTGAAATCGTAAGCCTTTTCTGCACATTTAGATTAACAACGTCATAATTCTTAAAAATTACTTGTTTTAAATTTTCAATTGGGTATCTAGTTATTTTAATAATTAATAAAAACTATCACAGCAAAGCTTTCCGAATTAAAATTTATTTATTTTTTGGCTTCGTTTTGAATTTTTTAAACTGTGATTTGTCAAAAGTAATGTTATTTAAAAATATCGATATATACCGATTCAAAGAATGCCAATATTTTAATTTTATCTTCGCTTTGATTCTATTATTTAATTGGTAACTGCAAGGGTATCAAAATTTCGGCTTTCCCAAGTAAGTTCCTTATTTTGTTTCATCATAATTCCGTTAAAATTTTTAGAAATATAAAATACTTCACTACAGATTATTGAAATTTCTTTTCTCTTTGCTGTTTCTTTTCGATTTAGATTCAATATAGATTTAATTTAGATCTTTGGGAATTTCATTAGGTATTCGGTTTTGATTTTTATACCCTTGCAGGGTATTATAATTTCAGTCAGAAGTTTGCAACGCAGTGAAGGGGGCACCTCCGACTATATAAAGTATATATATTCTTGATCAGGATCAACAGCCGAGTCGATCTAGCCATGTCCGTCTGTCCGTCTGTCCGTCTGTCCGTCTGTCCGTCTGTCCTTCTGTCCGTCTGTCCGTCTGTCCGTCTGTCCGTCTGTCCGTTTCTACGCAAACTAGTCTCTCAGTTTTGAAGCTATCTGAATGAAACTTTGTAGTTAGCCTTCTATATACTCTCACTCGTATATATGTCGGAACGGGCCGGATCGGACGACTATATCATATAGCTGCCATAGGAATGATCGGAACATTTTTACAAAAAAAATTATAACATTTTTAGTTTTCAACAGAATTTGATCAAATTTGAGATATAGCCATTTCATATTATTCTACAATTTTGTGTTAAATTTTATGAAAATCGGACGACTATATCATATAGCTCCCATAGGAACGATCGAGAAATTAATACAATTAAATTTATAACTTTTTCAGTTTTGAACAGATTTTCATCAAATTTGAGCTATGGCCATTTTATATTATTCTTAAATTTTGTGTCAAATTTCATGAAAATCGGACGACTATATCATATAGGTGCCATACAACCGATCGTTTGATGTAGAGGAAAAATGCAAATCTGTGAATGTAAAACTGCAAATATAATATGTATAGGTGAATGAAATGAAAGCAGGTATTACTTCATTGTTATTTAACACAAATATATATAATTTATATTGTATGGATTCCTATTCATAGAAGTTCTATCTGCAAGGGTATATAAACTTCGGCGTGCCGAAGTTAGCGTCCTTTCTTGTTATTATTATGATAATTATTCACATTATTATTATTAATTTTTTACAGCCACCGAAGTGCCACGAACCCAGAATCCACTTTTCAAACGCCGCCTGACCCTGATATCCACCACACCACCATCGGCCCGCACCACCTTCCTGCCCAGCTCCTCGGCCCTGGAGACCACCACCAGCCTCTATCTGAGCGATGACGATGAGGACCAGGTGGCCAAGTCCAGTATCCATACGAGCCGCTTTAATCAGATACCCGAGCAGGTGCGATCCCGCGAGGAGTACGAGTTGCCATCGCCACCAGTAGGAGCAGCAGCACACCTGCTTAGTCCAGCTAACACCACCCATGCACCACAGCCTGCTTTGCCGGCCATCAATCAGGGCATTCGTAAGTCCTAGATATCCAATCCTCTAAAGATTTTTGCCTTAAAAATAATCCAAAGATATGTTCTTTGCAGGTCGCCAGCTGATACCACGTCCACGTCGCCCGCAATCCACGACAGCACAGCCAGCATCTAGCACTGCCTCGGTCTGGTCATCGTCATCCTCATTGCCAGGACACTCGGCTCCGCCACTGTCACGTCGCCAGCAGAGTCGCCGTCGTCCCCACAAGTACATCGAGGTGTACAGTCGTCCGCCCAGCAAATCCGCCGTACTCACTGCCACCTCGAGCAGCCAGCTCCTGGATGAGGGTCAGGGACAGCCACAGGTTAACCAGGTGGCACAGCGACGACGAAGCGGTAGCATTGGACCCGCAAAGAGTGATCCCAAGGTCATTGTCCATGGACGTGGCATCATTGAGTGCCGGGCGCAGGGTAACTTTCCGCATCCCCTCAATTGCCGGAAATTCATATCCTGTGCACGCTTCGAGGAAACCGGCGGCATTGTGGGATGGGAGTACACCTGTCCCAAGGGACTCACCTACGACGGAGTCGGTGGGATGTGCACCTGGTCGCCATCGGATCAGCCCTGCCGGGACTAGACTGAAAAAACCATGAACCCATTAGCCTATCCAGTACCATTTTCATTACCATTATCCTATTACCTTTACCATTACCATGTTGTAAATGCTTTTTTTCCAATTTGTGATTAGTTCCGATGAGGTGGAATCCGACGAGAAGGAGGAGGAAGAGTTAAATTTCTACGTTAATTACTCTTATTTAAGCATAGTGATATCTCAACCCAATTTTTTTGCGCCTGCCAACTCAGCGAGTAAGCGAAATTTTGTCTGTATAATATGTAAACCCCTCGGAGGCCCCACTTCCATATATATATCGCCATATATATATATGTGCTGGTTGTGTGTCGGCTCTACCGATGTCGTCTGTATGCTATATACCATAATGGATAATATGCTTTCATTATTAAATAAACATATTGTGTAATCCAATTTGAATATGTTGTCAGTTGATTAATTTGGGGGAAAAATTTATATTATATATCTGTATATATCTGTTTCATTGTATATACATTTTTATTGTACAACTACATATATTATATACCTGTAGGCTATTATGATTTCAGTCAGAAGTTAGCAACGCAGTGAAAGAGTCACCTCCTATCCTATAAATTATATATGTATATTCTTGATCAGCATTAACAGGCGAATGTTTCTGGCCATCTCAGGTAGCAAAACAAACTTTCAAAATTTAAATCGTTAAAATTGTGAAAAATGTTTAAAAAAACAATTTGATTTCTTAAAAAGTTAAATTTAATATGCAGCATTTTTAAGCGCCAAACAACTAACGCAGAGGCGGTTTCCTAATTGAAATTAATACATTTTTGACAAAGTTATGCGATTTTTAAACAAAACCCTTCATACCAGTTAACCGACAAATTTGAATTTGAATTTAAATACTCGATCAGTTGCCGCCACGTCAGTAAATCGATAAGTTTGAATTAAACGATAAATTACCGCCAAATAACCCAATTTAGTTAGTTTTCTATCTACAACAACAACAACATCTCTTTTACAACAACATCTGTATAGCAAAAACAACAATTTACGATTTACAGCAACAAAACACAAGAAATATATTAATTTAACCGCGAAATTTGAATTTAAATTCAAATAGACCATCAGTAGCCGCCCTATCAGTTAACCGAAAAATTTGAATTTGAATTTAAATAGTCGATCACTTGCCGCCAAGTAAATCGATAAATTTCGATGACAAAAAGTTTATGATATGGTCACACTTCCCCCAAAACATAATTGCATATTTTTGGAATTGCATACTTTTTGGGGTATGGTGTAGCATACTTCTAGGCTGTACAATGAATTTGCAGAAAATTAAATTTGCTTGCTGCTGCCTTCTGTTCGCCTGGTACTTCAGGATGGATTTGTACTGAAATTGACCAAATCGAAGGCTTGCCTTTGTCAACACCAACGGTGTAGCATACTTCTAGGGTGTACAATGAATTAGCAGAAAATTAAATTAGCTTGCTGCTGCCTTCTGTTCGCCTGGTACTTCAGGTTGGATTTTTAAGAAAATTGACCAAATCGAAGGCTTGCCTTTGCCTACAACAACAACAGTATGTACAGAGTATGTACAACAACAACAACAACAACAACAACAACAAGAACAAGAAGAACAACAACAACAACAACAACAACAACAACAACAACAACAACAACAACAACAACAACAACAACAACAACAACAACAACAACAACAACAACAACAAGAACAACAACAACAACAACAACAACAACAACAACAACAACAACAACAACAACAACAACAACAACAACAACAACAACAACGACGACAACTACAACAACAACAACAACAACAACAACAACAACAAACACATGTCTTTTACAACAAGAACTCTTTAAAAACAAAAGAAAAATCTGTTTTACAACAAAAACTCTTGAATAACAATTAAAAAATTTCCGACCCTATAAATCCTATATATTCTTCATCAGCATTAACAGGCGAATGTTTCTGGCCATCTCTGGTAGCCAAACAAAGCTTTTCAATTTTTTCTACAAAATTAAAGTGGTAACATCGTTAAAATTGTGAAAAATCTAAAAAATTATTGGATTTCTTAAAAAGTTAAATTAAGTATGCAGCTTTTTTAAGCGCCAAACAACTAACGCAGAAGCGGTTTCCGAATTAGATTTAATGCATTTTTGACAAAGTTATGCAATTTTTTAACTTCGACTGTCCCAAAAAAATACTACAAAATTATTAAGTGAAAATTTCGATTTCAAGAATCTTGCAGGGGAAAATATATTTTTAATCAGTGAAGGAGCCATTTCCGACCCTATAAATCATATATATTCTTGATCAGCATTAACAGGCGAATCTTTCTGGCCATCTCTGGTAGCCAAACAAACCTTTTCAATTTTTTCGAAAAAATGAAAGGGGTTACATCGTTAAAATTGTGAAAAATCTAAAAAATTATTGGATTTCTTAAAAAGTTAAAAGTAGTATGCAGATTTGTTAAGCGCCAAACAACTAACGCAGAAGCGGTTTCCGAATTAGATTTAATGCATTTTTGACAAAGTTATGCGATTTTTAAACTTCGACTGTCCCAAAAAAAATACTACAAAATTATTAAATGAAAATTTCGATTGTAAGAATCTTGCAGGGGAAAATATAATTTTAATCAGTGAAGGAGCCATTTCCAACCCTATAAATCATATATATTCTTGATCAGCATTAACAGGCGAATCTTTCTGGCCATCTCTGGTAGCCAAACAAGCACTTCCAATTTTTTCGAAAAAATGAAAGGGGTTACATCGTTAAAATTGTGAAAAATCTAAAAAATTATTGGATTTCTTAAAAAGTTAAAATTAGTATGCAGATTTGTTAAGCGCCAAACAACTAACGCAGAAGCGGTTTCCGAATTAGATTTAATGCATTTTTGACAAAGTTATGCAATTTTTTAACTTCGACTGTCCCAAAAAAAATACTACAAAATTATTAAATGAAAATTTCGATTTCAAGAATCTTGCAGGGGAAAATATAATTTTAATCAGTGAAGGAGCCATTTCCGACCCTATAAATCATATATATTCTTGATCAGCATTAACAGGCGAATCTTTCTGGCCATCTCTGGTAGCCAAACAAACCTTTCAATTTTTTCGAAAAAATGAAAGGGGTTACATCGTTAAAATTGTGAAAAATCTAAAAAATTATTGGATTTCTTAAAAAGTTAAAATTAGTATGCAGATTTGTTAAGCGCCAAACAACTAACGCAGAAGCGGTTTCCGAATTAGATTTAATGCATTTTTGACAAAGTTATGCGATTTTTTAACTTCGACTGTCCCAAAAAAATACTACAAAATTATTAAGTGAAATTTCGATTTCAAGAATCTTGCAGGGGAAAATATAATTTTAATCAGTGAAGGAGCCATTTCCGACCCTATAAATCATATATATTCTTGATCAGCATTAACAGGCGAATCTTTCTGGCCATCTCTGGTAGCCAAACAACATTTCCAATTTTTTCGAAAAAATGAAAGGGGTTACATCGTTAAAATTGTGAAAAATCTAAAAAATTATTGGATTTCTTAAAAAGTTAAAATAAGTTGCAGATTTGTTAAGCGCCAAACAACTAACGCAGAAGCGGTTTCCGAATTAGATTTAATGCATTTTTGACAAAGTTATGCAATTTTTAACTTCGACTGTCCCAAAAAAATACTACAAAATTATTAATGAAAATTTCGATTTCAAGAATCTTGCAGGGGAAAATATAATTTTAATCAGTGAAGGAGCCATTTCCGACCCTATAAATCATATATATTCTTGATCAGCATTAACAGGCGAATCTTTCTGGCCATCTCTGGTAGCCAAACAAACCTTTCAATTTTTTCGAAAAAATGAAAGGGGTTACATCGTTAAAATTGTGAAAAATCTAAAAAATTATTGGATTTCTTAAAAAGTTAAAATTAGTATGCAGATTTGTTAAGCGCCAAACAACTAACGCAGAAGCGGTTTCCGAATTAGATTTAATGCATTTTTGACAAAGTTATGCATTTTTTAACTTCGACTGTCCCAAAAAAATACTACAAAATTATTAAGTGAAAATTTCGATTTCAAGAATCTTGCAGGGGAAAATATAATTTTAATCAGTGAAGGAGCCATTTCCGACCCTATAAATCATATATATTCTTGATCAGCATTAGCAGGCGAATCTTTCTGGCCATCTCTGGTAGCCAAACAAACCTTTTCAATTTTTTCGAAAAAATGAAAGGGGTTACATCGTTAAAATTGTGAAAAATCTAAAAAATTATTGGATTTCTTAAAAAGTTAAAATAGTATGCAGATTTGTTAAGCGCCAAACAACTAACGCAGAAGCGGTTTCCGAATTAGATTTAATGCATTTTTGACAAAGTTATGCGATTTTTAACTTCGACTGTCCCAAAAAAATACTACAAAATTATTAAGTGAAAATTTCGATTTCAAGAATCTTGCAGGGGAAAATATAATTTTAATCAGTGAAGGAGCCATTTCCGACCCTATAAATCATATATATTCTTGATCAGCATTAGCAGGCGAATCTTTCTGGCCATCTCTGGTAGCCAAACAAACCTTTTCAATTTTTTCGAAAAAATGAAAGGGGTTACATCGTTAAAATTGTGAAAAATCTAAAAAATTATTGGATTTCTTAAAAAGTTAAAATTAGTATGCAGATTTGTTAAGCGCCAAACAACTAACGCAGAAGCGGTTTCCGAATTAGATTTAATGCATTTTTGACAAAGTTATGCGATTTTTAAACTTCGACTGTCCCAAAAAAATACTACAAAATTATTAAGTGAAAATTTCGATTTCAAGAATCTTGCAGGGGAAAATATAATTTTAATCAGTGAAGGAGCCATTTCCGACCCTATAAATCATATATTTCTTGATCAGCATTAACAGGCGAATCTTTCTGGCCATCTCTGGTAGCCAAACAACCTTTCCAATTTTTTCGAAAAAATGAAAGGGGTTACATCGTTAAAATTGTGAAAAATCTAAAAAATTATTGGATTTCTTAAAAAGTTAAAATAGTATGCAGATTTGTTAAGCGCCAAACAACTAACGCAGAAGCGGTTTCCGAATTAGATTTAATGCATTTTTGACAAAGTTATGCGATTTTTAACTTCGACTGTCCCAAAAAAATACTACAAAATTATTAAGTGAAAATTTCGATTTCAAGAATCTTGCAGGGGAAAATATAATTTTAATCAGTGAAGGAGCCATTTCCGACCCTATAAATCATATATATTCTTGATCAGCATTAGCAGGCGAATCTTTCTGGCCATCTCTGGTAGCCAAACAAACCTTTCAATTTT